ATTGACAATTCTTTTGTTAAATTCCTCCAACATGGCCGACGTGAAAACTATTAATACCTGATGTGCTAGCTCATGAGCGATTACCGTAGCAACCCTCTGTTTATTGGTCTCAGAAGACGAGCCATTCTTCCATAGCAACGCCGTTTCACGATACGTTATTAGTCCCCAGTTCTCCATGGCGCCTGCCGCGAAATCTGGAATTGCTATCATGTCTAGAAAACATAAAAATACAAGGTTTTCATTAGGTTATAAACGAATGTGTGTCATTCCCTTGAGTATTATATCTTTCTTTACTAAAAATGCTTTTCAGCTATAGTGTAATGTTTTCCCATTTCAGACCATGTGCATTCCCTTGAGTATTATATCTTTCTTTACTAGGAATGCTTTCAGCTATGGTGCAATGTTACAACGTTTTCCCATTTCAGACCACGTGTCATTCCCTCGAGAATAGGAATCTTTGTTTCAGTTGTATGTCGCTCACTAAGCTTGAAATGCCCGTTGAAATGTGTCATATTAATATGTAAATCATGTTAGCACGGAAGAAAATATACCAACTTACCAGATTTGGGTAACGGGTAGCTGATGTTGTAGTATTGCTCAAAAAATGTCATAATTTTGCCTCCAATTGATACAGCATATTCCAACTGGTCGACCTGATCTGGTGGGGCGTAGAATCTCATCTGTAACATACAAAACATCACAAGTCGAGTGACGCGTACRTATCGATGTGATTGGCTAATTCTATGACCTCATTTGTCACGTGATCCGAACCTTGACGCGTAGTATGTTTATGATTGGCTAATAGATCCCTTGCATGTGACGTCAAAGCAGCTCAATTTGGAGGACAAAACAAAAGAATTTCAATTTCCTGAGAATTGGAAACCTATTATTTCCTCCAAATTTAGCTGCATTCCCACTCTGTTAAATGAGATCTAGACTCCTAGCAGTTCAATTTGGAGGACATAACAATAGGTTTCCAATTGTCATGAGATTTTGTTTTGTCCTCCAAATAGCCCACTTCTGAGATATGCTTCGCATGTCACGCATAAAGGTTTCAATGCAAGGGTTCGTGCATAATGCTCAGTGATTCGTGAAAGGAGAAAAATAATTAATTGTTTAATTAATATTTCGCACGTGGCCTCGTACAGAAACCTTTGTGTGTGTCAAGCGAAGCATATCTAGGGGTCTATATTGAGCTGCTTTGACAACACATGCAAAGGGTCATCTATAAGCCTTTTCATAGTTTAAGAATCGATTCCACTGCGCATGCGATCTTATCCCGAATTTCTCATCTTCTTTTGTCTAGAAATTCGGGATAAAATCGCATTCTTAAACTATGAAAAGGCTTATTAAATGAAATCACAAGTCACGCGATCCATACCTTCACTCCATTTTTGGACGTGATTTCTTTGTACTTAAAGTCACACACCACAAAGGCCAATAAGTACGTTGGCATAATGACCGTTTTCTTGTAGTAGTCATACATTTTGCCACCTTTTGTCTCGCTCTTAGTGATTGGCATGTTGGAGATGGAGATATAGTCAGGTCGGTGGACGAGCACGACAGTGAATGTTGCTTTAAGTTGTGGTTCATCAAAACAAGGGAAGGCTTTGCGTGCATCCGTGGGCTGAAACTGTGTCGTTGCGATCGTGCTGAAAAACATTTGAAATATTGACCATTGTCTCAGGGGAGGAGTGGGTAAGGGG